CTGTCAGATATCCCAGCGCTCAAATGCACGAATCGTGGTTTGGATCTTTAGAAATGAACAGACTGACAAATGTGCACATTTAATTGGTTTTGAAAGATCATAAATAAACTTTAAAATTCAATAAAAAAAAACTCTACAATGGAACAAAACCTGCAGATTAACATTCATTTTCATCCCCAGGCTGTGAGTGTGGTTGGATATAGGTTTAATAAAGGACATACCACAACATAGTTAGTAAAAGAGGAAAGGTGAAAGGGTATTACTGGTGTATAACTCACATATATTTAATATTTAGTGTGGTGAGATTATATATATATTTATATAATGATTTACAGACACTCCAATTTGAAGTTGTGGAATAGTGAAATACATGTTACAGTAGCTTTACACACTTGCAAAATATCTGTCTGTACACAACTTTAGATATTTGTACACATAGTCATACAAGAACATACTGTACATACAGTATAGAACATCTGAGAGTTATGAAAGCCCTCTTTAATTTAACAGAGAAGTACAGCCATGAAGTCGTCCTAAAACCTTCAGATGCAAGGACAATTCTGGTTTATATCAATTTGTAATAACACTGTAATCACCAAGTACCAAGTGTGAAAAACACGGAGCATATGAAACTAATTATAACTGATTTAACAAGACTAGCAGGCTTTGTATATTTGTTGGACTTTTTTGAATTACACCTTCTTTCTTGTGAAATTCTAAACAATTTTCAGGGTTTCCCCCAGGAAATATGGTTAGCGGAGGTGGTGAGTGCTCTTTCCTCACCACCCACCTCTCTAAAAAAAAAGAAAAAACAGAAAAAGAAAGAAAGAAAAGAAAAAGAGGTATTATCTAAAGCTTTCAAAGGTCTGCCAAAGAAAACCTCTTTTTTCTTTAAAACTAAAAAACATCCCTGCTGGTCTCACAGGAAAGAAGTGCATGAATATACATTTAACTTATAATGGAGCTAATAAGAAAGTGATGATGTGAACCTGTGAACATTCACACCATCAAACGGGCCAAAGCGATGTTTTATGAATTTCACTGCAGTTTTAAATGTGAGTTTAAGTTCTTCATATTAAAGCAAAGCAACATGGAAATGGTTTCTATGGTTTGTCCTGTAAAACCTGTAAAACCTGGCTTTCTTTATTCTCTTTGAGGCTGTCATTAGTCATCATTTCCGACACAGAAATGTCAATATTTTCACGTTTCCAGGGTGTCAAAGCTCGGGGTATCTCTGCATCCAACGCAGGACTAAAACTCCCTCGAATAAGAACCGCTTTTATGTAATACTTTCACACTTTTTGACAGCTGAAACTAGGGCTTAGAGAACCTTTCACCTATTGGGAAATTTTACATAAACCGTGTATATGAGGAAATGATTTAAAAGAAAGACAAACAAATCTTAAAAGTAGTGTCAGAAAAATGCCAATTGATGATATTATAAATATGCCAATTTGAATTTAAACAGTTAGACATTAAAACTTTTTTACACAGGAAGAGGTGGTAGAAAGTAATTTAGAAATAATATATATATTTTCTATTTTGGTTGTATTGCCTGTTTCAAATTTATTTGGTGTATGCCAGGAGTTGTCTTCTGTCCATGAAAGGTTTTCCAGCATGCAAAAACATGTATAGACTCTAAAAGAGGAAATAAAAAACATTTGTTTTCATGTAAATGGCCTGAAGTTGATGCATAAGCTAAGCTAAACATATAAGCTAATGCAATTCCTCGCTGTGCGGGGGCTTTATTTCCCTAATTAATTTTAAATAAAATAAAAGTTACCTCAATGTAAGTGTAAAAAACCAACAACAAAAAAGAAAAAGTCAAAGTAGATAAGTACTTATTAGACTAAGCTTGAAGGTACATATTAGCTTGTAACATCCTTAGCTTGCTAGCTTGCAACTGTTTAGCTGGTTAGCTTGTTAGCAATAGCATGACACCAGTTAATAACTTAGTGAAAAAAATGTTTTTTACAGATTACTGTTTGGACAGACCTCTGTAAGGTGAACACAGCGTTATATAAAAAACATAAAACCAACATCTATGGCTAATAAAATAAACTATAAGAGATAGTAAACCAGATTTGTCCTTTTAACTGACACGGCCCTCATTTCAAACTTCAGCAGAGCATCACAAGATAATCAAATCTTTATTTGGTCAACACCTCTGTGATGATTCAGTGGGCGCACCACCTAAAAGCATCACATGCCCTTTGTTTTCTGCCCCCAACATCACCACCGTTAATGCTCAAATCAACTGCACTGCGTTAATTATCGAACGTCAAATCGATTTCTACGAGTGGGCGCCTGAACGGGGACGTCCCCGAGATGAACAAATGCAGATGGAGCTGAAAACCTCAGATTAGCTGACATCAGTGTAACATTGTTACTTAGTCCTTTTTTGCATCAGATAGTTCAAACCCAACAAGCAAGATATTAAGTCAAGATTGATTCGTGATAAAAATCAAACCCACGTTTAAAAAAAGAGTTTTGTTGTCTTAAACCCTGCCAAGAAAACCGTAGATAACCGACTGGAGAGGATTTGTCTGAAATCAAGATCTTGGAGATAGAAATACACGACATTAAAAAGCCTGCCACTCTGAACTGAGAGTAGGTTAGTAGCTTGATCTCATGCAGTGAGCTGTGTGGTGCTTTTTCTTTCATTTTTCCCTCCCCAGCTTTTTTTGTTGGGAGGTCTGGGCAGCTGTTGACATCAAACTGTGATGAGGGTCAGATCTTGAGGAAGACCGAGGAAAACCCCATCCGACATTTTAAAAGTCCCTGTACAGAAAACGCCTCCCGTTCTGTGGGATTTCGGGCCTCGACTTCTCTGTGTTTTTATCGTGAAAGCACATGGGAGGAGAGTTGTGTGACGCGAGTGGTGCACAGACATTTGCAAAAATAGATTTTTTTTTTCCCGTTTTGTTTTTACAGACAGACGATAGAAATAGTAAATTATATAACTTATGGAAAATATACACCAATCAGCCGGAGCGTTTTTAAAGCACGTACCTAATGCCGTGAGTTAAGTGGGAGTCCTGGAAGTCCAGAGGACCGGAGCAGTCTGTAAAATATTCCACGGAGAGGAAGTCAGCTCTTTGAACTCTTGAATGAATTCCTGGACATTTGGGGCATCTTTTCCCCGAGCTGCTTCCTTTACTGCTTCCTCCCGTGGTGTGAGGGTCAAAGGTCATGTGTTGGTCTCCGATCTGTCCCGTCAGATGAACCTCCTCCACAATCTGAGATGTTCTGAGTTTGTCGGCCATCTTTGTGACAGTGGATCCTCTGGACAGCGACATTCATCAGTGACTTGTGGAAGCTTGTGTCCCTACTGCTGGATCCCTGGATCTGTCACGTCTGGGGGAATTTCTGGTAGTCTGGTCATGTCTTGATTACCTATTGTGTACACCTGGGGTTCCCCTCCCTCGTGTGTTTAAATAGTCCTCGTTTCCCCATGTCCTGTGCCCGTGTGTTTTTGCTTTTGCCATCGTGTTTTTTGTTCCCCTGTCAGTGAGTTTTTAGGTTTTTGCTGTCTTTATCTTTTCGTTCCACGTAAGATTTAGATTTTTGCACTTAGTCACAGCCTCGTTTTTGCCACAGTCTTGTTAATCTTGTTTTGATGTTTTTGCCATAGTCTTGTTTACTTTATTTGATACTTTGTTCATAGACTTGTTACTCTTACTTTGATACTTTGTTCACAGTTTTGTCAGCCTTGTTTCGTACTTTGTCTGGTCAACCACTCTTCTGAGAGCGTTTTTTGTTCAAATAAACCCTTGGAACCGCCCCTCTCCGCAACTGAGTCCTCCCTAAGACCCACCATCCTCACAGAGGAACAAAAAACACGAAGGCAAAAGCAAAATAACTGGCACAGGACAGGGGGAAAGAGGATTATTTAAACACATGAGGGAGGGGAACCCCAGGTGAACACAACAGGTAATCAAGACATGACAACACACCAGAAATTCCCCCAGATTTGACAGGATCCTTCCCCACATCCACCCCACCCCCCCCCCACGGACTTGGAAATGTTCTGATCCAGCCTAAATCAAGCCGGACGCCCTGATTCTTCTCTGATCTCCAGAGCGGATCGTTTCGTTCTATTGCTAAAACTCGATGGCGTTTCGCCTCCCGTTGTTTCACAAAGCGGCTGATGGGTGTACAAACAGGCCCAACACGCTCACACATTGTTTTTTAGGCTATGCTAACTTAAAGTGCCGAGATAATAATGTCCGAAGCATGTAGTTAAAGTTGGGATTGAGCCGCTGAGGGCCCCGCCCTGCAGGGCATCACCATAGCAGCCCCCATCCAGCACCCCCCCCCCCCCCCCCCCCCCCCCGAGTGTGATGGTGGAATGTTTTAGAGTGGAAAACACTGTGGAAACACTTCCCTGTTGAAAGCCGGCTGGCCTGAAAACCCCGGAGTGACAGCTGGACTCGTCCCACTGTGTAAAATCAGCCCTTCCCACATCTTTTTTATGACTTTTGGGCTGTTGGATAAAACAAGCGGGAGAGTTTAAAGCTAAGCGCGGAAAACAGCGGCCTCAGATCTCCCTGATCTGTCTGTTAGCTGTCCAAAGTGAAACGAACCTTTTTTGGCGTGCGGAGCCCCTGAACCTGCCAGAGCGCCTCTCACCCGACTCGCTTTGCTCGAATAAAGTGTGCTAAACTGTGAAGAAGAACCAAAAACTTAAATAAAATAAAAAGGAACAGAAGTTATCTGGAGCCTCTCAGCGAAACAGCAGCAATCAGAGCCGGTGGTTACACAGGCAGTCTGTCTTAAGGGCAATCAGTAAAGGACTCTGCTTATAGACCCACAAACCCAAAATAGATCCTCTCCAAAAATACCCCCCCCCTCCCCCCCCTTTGCTTCCCTACCTGTACATTGTGAAAGCTAACGGCCCACGTGCGACTCTCCTTTCGGCCGGATCGAGCAACAGAGCTCTTATATAAACCATAAGAGAGAGCGGGGAGCAGATGTGCGCGGGCCGGTTGTCATGGAGATCATATCTTGCTGTTCTCCAGGTGGGAGTCGATGTGCTTGATGAGGGCGTCGTCAGGGTAACCCACGGGGAAGATCAGCTGGCAGAGGGGGCAGCTCCTCATGTCGCTCTCCTCCGTCTCCATCCACAGCTGAAGACACACAAACGGGCCATTAACGGGGGGAAACCCCCCCCACTCTGACCCCCCCCACACACTCGGACCCCCGCTGAGCCGTGTGGAGTCAGTCATCCAGTCAACAACTGCACTCTGTTAGAATTGGGCTATAATTACTCACTTTAGCATAGTATGCTACAACTTCATCCATGTAAATGACTGATTGTCTTATTCCTTTTTAGATTTATATTATTCTCTTTAGAATCATACTTTTGGGTTAAACTCTCTGGCTGTTCCTACTCCTCCTCCTCTCTCTGTTACAGTAGATACACGTCTTTAAGGTCAACATTCACACTTTCTTAGCATATTTTACTGAAACCTGCATGAATTAGGACCTGGCCTGTTCATGTCAGAGCTAACTGGCCAATTACACTCGTCCTCCTGTTGGAGGCCCAGAAGATAACTGTACATCACACCCGGAAATCGAGATACTGCCAATTGAGATACTTTGTCTGTGAGAGCCCAGCTGATTTACTTTGCTTGTGACCAACAAATGTCATATTTGTACTCTTGATCTGTTCTGGTTTATTCTCAGACTTCCAACTAAAGAACCAAACTAACAACTCCCTTTCTCCTAAAATAGACTGACTCAGTAGCAAATCGAGGCTTTGAAACATGGATTCACTGTGTAATACGGCGCTCTGAGAGCCGGAGTCCAGTTGCCTCTGTCCTTGGTTCTTTGTTGAGAGTACCTGGTTGTTAATTCCTTTAGAGAGAGTCGTCTCCCATGTCTGGATAAATGTGGTTTTAGCACCAGTAGGAAATGCGAAAATTCCCTTAATCCCATCAAGGACGACTCTCCCATTCCTGTTTATCATTGAGATTGTATGACTTTTCCTTTGTGCCATTCTCACTCATCTCCTGAGAATATTCTCCTTTTGGTCCGTCCACCTGTCTCCTGAGAATAAGCATAACTTTTTTCCTATTGGAGACTCTCCATGGGACTTCGTTGAGGACTGGGGAGTAAATCAGAATCTTTTTGTTTGTTGCTGATAAGAAACACAGTGGCCTTTTCCTTTCCTTTATCCAGACTAAGTTATATAAGGGGATGTACCCTTTCCCTTGAGTTTACTCTGTTGCCTTCGAATAAAACACCTTTATTGGACATGATCAATCTTCTCTAATTATTAAGAAACTTTTCTGTAACACATCCAAACTGGTAAAAAACGTCTCACTACGGAGCATTCGGGATTAAATGATTCAGGAATGGAAACTGAAATTACGCCGTCTTGTTAAATATTTTTCCACATGCTATTAATGGGATTGCATTGCTCCAACAAACTCGATTAACATAAAGTGATTATTTTTCCTATACAGATATTTTAATTGTAATCATGCAGGGACATCCTCCTTTAATAGTTTAAAACAGTAAGTATTGTATTTATCATATCATCATTATACATTCAATCATGGTTAAATACTGATAATAGCTCATGTTTAATAGACACCATTCAGAGCTGATCTGACTAAACTTTGCTTTTGATACTGTATTAATGCGTTTATATATTTCTATTTGTTGGGGAGAAACTAAATAACTAGATCTTTAAAGGTTTTTATTAGTCATAAAGCAGAGTTATGACGAAGTGACAACACATCTTATGTTGAAAATGGAGTGGGTGGACGTTTGACTTGTGAAGACCAGCGTTCTTATCGTGAAGTTCTGGGTAATAAACGACACGGTTGGTGGATTTAAGCATTCAGAGTATCCAGGGAAACCCGGAAAACTATGTGCTTTTAGGACCAGGGCTGAGAAACTCTGATTTCAAACAGACAAAACGACACCTGAAGGCCCCTCGTGAGGCTGAACTGGACTTATTTTCTGTGCATGCAGATCACTTTAAGCCCAGTTTTATTTTTACCGTGAGCAGTTTTTACTGGAGTCAAAATGAACGAACTGTTTCTTGGCAAATGAGGCTGAACACATTCACTCTGGTTTCTCTTTCAGGGGAAATAAGCCGTGGACCCATCTGGGGACTGGACAGAACCGGTCCCTGGGCCTGTTTCCCCCTTCTCTTTCTAATTGAGGCTCCGCATCTTGACTCCATCTCTCTGCTGAACGCACAGTCATCAGATATATATCAGACTTCTCCAAAAACCCGAAAACAAACGGGGGTGTTTCTCAATGTGCCGAGCCCAGAACTGACATATGTGAAAAGAGAGAGGGGTTGGTCCAGAGTACGGTTGTCACCATGCTAAAATGTTCAACTCGATACTCAGGAAAATATTCGATACTAGATACTGAATTTTGACAGGTTAGTGTCTTTGGTTTCAAACTGACCTATTACTGACCCTAACCCTAACCATAACCCTGACCCTAACCCTAACCCTGACCCTAACCCTAACCCTAAACCTAAACCTAAACCTGATGCTGACCCTAACCCTCCAGCCTTCATAATTGTGAGAAAGAAATATTTTTTGGTTAAACTTGGTTAAACTGTTGTGTTCCGGGGTTCCTTGTTTTCCTTGAGAGTCTGGGTTTG